TCACGTTGCAACAATATTCTAATTAAATACTTGCTGCCACTGGCTGTTGACAGTCAACACTCTTCTGACGAGCTCTCTGGAGCTCTGCTGTACTGTAAACAAACAATGAGACTCAATTCAACCAGAACACGAAACTAATAAAGCAGATCAGCAACGTGGTTGGCAAATAGCGGCTTATTGCTTAGAAAGCTGAAATTAGTTAATAAATCAGGTGGTCTAGCCTCCATTAGCTAATGTTTTTGATGCTGTTTACAGAAGAAATATGCATAGGCAAACAATTTTCACATCACAGCAGTGACCCTTCATTACTGGAACAATTTGAACTTTCCCTTGTTAATGTTTCATTTGCATATGAAATTACATCTTTGGCTTCTTTCAGCTGCAGCAACGCAAAATCTTAATTGTTAACAAAAAGCGACGCTGCAGCACCTCTGTGTGCGAACACTGGACATTTAAACGGTTTTTAATGGTCACCTCTACTGTCTCCAATAGACAAGTTGAGAGGAAAAAATAAAATACATACAGTTATTAAGGAAGGTAAAATGATGCCCTCAATGTTTTTGAACATTTTCACAAACTAGCTCACAGCTTCTTGGAAAAAAACAAATGTCTGTGTAGGCTTGTATCAGAAAACATATAATGGAATATGGATGTGTCTGTGATTGGTTAGTATCCAATCTAATCTGTCAGGCTTTAGTTGAAACCACACGTAGTTCCTCCAAAACTAGATTAGCAGTTTTATATTGATGAGGAAGTGCACTAGATGAATAAAACGGTAAGTGCAGCTGATCAGATAATGTTGGAAGTTGGGTCTGCATTATCATACGATTTTCTAACTTTGTATGGATTAAATAATTTATCTATGATTTCAGTAAAAACCATAGATAATCGTAGATTAATAACAGGTTATAGACTTAGAGGGAGTAAATGCTAGCTGTAGTCATTAATGTGTTGTTTTTTTGTAGGCTGTTTCGTCAGACTGCACACTATGCTCTGCTACTTGTTGCGAAGAGGCCGCAGTCCTCTGCTCTGCCTCTGGGCCCTGCTTCTGCCTCTGGCATCCCTCGATCGCCCAAGCCACCGTGGAAGTAGGGACTACCTCGTAACGGAGCGGCCCAAGCTGCTGCTCGTGTCCTTTGACGGCTTCCGTTGGGACTACATTGACCGCGTTCCGACGCCTAACTTCCGCAGCATCATGGACACAGGGGTGAAAGTGGAGTTTGTGGAGAATGCTTACATCACCAAAACCTTCCCTAATCATTACAGCTTAGTGACGGGGCTGTATGCTGAGACGCATGGCATTGTGGCTAATGAGATGTACGACCCTGTTCTGAACCGGTCCTTCTCCATGGAGACGGACAGCGTTTATGATTCACGGTGGTGGGAGGAGGCCGTGCCCCTCTGGGTGACCATCCAGAAAGCTGGAGGACGGAGCGGGGCGGCGATGTGGCCCGGGTCTGATGTCAAAATCCACAACATGTACCCTACCCAGTACCTCCCCTACAACGCCTCAGTCTCCTTCGAAACCAGAGTGGAACGGATTATTGAGTGGTTCTCTGCACCAGAAGCTGAGGCGGTGGATTTTGGAGTTCTGTACTGGGAGGAGCCTGACGAGAGCGGGCACAACCTAGGACCTCAGAGTTCCTTAATGGATGTAGTCATCGCGTGGATTGATGAGAAGCTCGGCTTCCTTATAAACAAGCTAAAGAAGGCAGGGCTGTATGACAGAGTGAACCTCATAGTGACCAGTGACCATGGGATGGCTCAGCTTTCTCCTGAGAAGATCATAGAACTGGATGAGTACGTGAGCAGAGACCTGTACACCTGGGTGGATAAGAGTCCAGTGGTGGGAATTCTGCCCAACGAAGGTATAAACAGTAATGTTTTTGGAAATTCATTCACTTTCCTCTTCACTACCATCATGCTTGTATATTAAAGGGAAAGTGGATGTGCAGGACTGACCTAAAGATTATCAGTTTAGTTAACAGTTCATACCACAGACAATCCTCCATGATGACCAAGGTTTACATCACAAACTTAATTTTTATTAAATTTGATCCAAAAACCAGTGACTGAGCATTTTTCCCCATAGACTTCTACAGGACTGGAAGTGATCGCCATCTGGTGGCCTTCATATAGAATGCAGGCTTAAGGCATTTCTGCACTGGCTCAATTTTTTCTGACCTAGAAACTACAGTCATCTTATATTCATCCTGTCTGTAACTGCAGGCTATGTCCATCTTTTAGAGATTAACTGAAAAGCAGCAACTGTATATAAAGTATTGAACTTTTGTTTCTCATGAGCCGCCGTTCATAAATCAGAATTTGCAACCTCCATAAAGATTTTCTGCTACCGCTCGTTATGTATCCTCCAGGGAAACTCGACGAGGTGTATAATCTGCTGGTGGATGCAAACCCGAACATGGTGGTGTACAAGAAGGAGGAGATTCCCCAGCACTACCATTATCAGCACAACACAAGGATCATGCCCATCGTCATAGAGGCCAAAGAAGGCTGGACCATCATGCAGAACAGGACCGGACCCTTCATGCGTACGTTTTCGCACATCACAAGGCTCTGCTGAGTCGTTACTGTGCACATTAAACAGCTTTTGTCACTTTGTTTTAGCAGCAGCCTTTTTTCTGCTCTAATAATAGCTTCACAGAAGGTTTATTTCAGTCACTGAAGCAGCGCTTGGTTTAGAGCAGCTGTAATTAACAAAGAAAGCTGGATATGCTTTCCCTTAGGACCAACAAGAGTGTGTTTGAGTTACAAAGTGTCTGTGTGTATGTATTGATGTGTTTGGAGGCTTTTATTGCATTAACTCTAAGTGCAATCATTTTTTCCTAATACAAAACCTACCGAGCATCACCTCCTCAGATTAGAGCATTCAGACTCATGTGTCATGGAGGCAGAGTGTCTTCTCACCAGCTAATGTCGCTGCTTAATTCCTCCTCGCTGCTCGAAGGCTTGTTAATGAGTAAAATGACCAGGTGGAGCCTGCAGCTGGAAAGAAAACTAGCAGACTTTCAGTCTTCAGGGACAAAGCGATGTAAGACTGCTTAGATACACATGTGTGTATTATGATGCTTTCCTGCAATAGCAAAATTTTTGAGAGGGAGCAATATGCATTCATGACTAAAACGTGCCTCTTCCCCTGCAGCAGTCGCCCCTTCTGTTTCTCAGTGCATCATGGAGCGCTGCGGAGTAATGCAATACAAATAACACTGCAGCTCCACAACCCCACTCATTCTTCTTTGTTTACATCAATTGAAAGAAAATGTGCTCTGCGTTTCTTGGTTTTCCATTATATGCCTGTCTCTATTTATTTGGCATTTGCCTTTATTAGATACTGCAGTGGGAGACGTTTTATACATCCATATTTAGTTGCTAGCAGCATTCCTCTTCCCCGCCTCCGCCGGCTGATTGCCGCACTTCTGTGCTCATTCCTTGCGACATCGATCAGTGGAATGGGATTACAGCACTGGTAGAATTGCTAATGTTCTTGCATGCGCGCGCACGTGTGTGTAGTTGTGCATGTTTACAAAACAAAAATATAGAGGAAAGAAATGTCGACCAGGCAACGTTGGGGTTCGGAAATCTCCGCAGGGTGTCTTTAAGGTAAGATTTATGGCCTGGACCTGCTCGAATGGCCGTTAAACCCACTGAAGCTGCCACCGCAGCAGCGCTGATAGACTGTATTGATTTTTACTCACAGCGCGCTAAGAGAATCACGTCAGATCTTCTGGATGTAATAGCGCTGATAAATTTTCGGAGCGGCTGTTAGCCTGTCTAAGCTTTCATGTAAGGTCTTTGTGTTTTGCGATTTCATTTTCAGTTTTTGTTTGGGCTGTGCTGTGATTGATGTAGCCTTATCCCGTCTGCTGAGGCGAGTCGTTTTGGCAGTAAATCATCAGGTAGAGCTGCGGCGCCAGGTCCCATAAATCTGGAAACAAAACGAGCGGTCTGTGATTTATGGGACGTGGAAACCAGATATAGATGTATAAAAGGTCTATTAGCAACAGAATAATAATTTACATCAAAGATTTCCACCTTCTTATGCAAATGTTTTCTGTCTTTTTTTTCATCTCCAGTGGGAAACCATGGCTATAACAACAGCTTGCGTAGCATGCAGCCTGTGTTCGTGGCTCGTGGGCCGGCCTTCCGTGAGAACTACGTCAAATCCTCCATGCGCTCCGTTGACCTTTACCCTCTCATGTGCCACATCCTGTCCATCCGCCCTATGCCGAACAACGGCTCCCTCTCAAATGTTCAGGACCTCCTGTCCATAGAGCCCACTGTGACCACGCCAGTCCCACCTCACCCTCCCGTTCCCCCTCCGGGCACCGGGTACTCCTGCGCCCCCATCGTGGGCTCGTTCCTCGGTGTGGTTTTGGTGCTGGGCTTCCTTGTGGTCTACGTCATACTAGTGACACTCAAACAGCGGCCCTCGAGAAAACACAGGAGCTGGGAGATGTCGCAGCCTTTACTGCAAGAGGATTTGCACCTGTAGCTTGAGAGCGGAAAGAAAGGCAGACGTAAAAGAAGAGGAGGTATTCCTCCTCCCGAGGTACTCCCACATCCAGAAGCATCCCCTGAACGCCTCCCTTACAGCACTAAATGCCGTTGTGCTGCTCTTGTTATTCACTGAAGATCAAGGAAATGTACCCTCCCACTCGTGCGTAGGGGTACGTCTGGTGTAAGGGAAACGTCCTGGGCGTGCTTCTGGTTTGGGTTTATTCAGAATAATGGGTTTCTTAGTGGCTTTGCTTTGATTGTGAATTCTACCTAATAGCGTCTAACATTTTCATTGTCACTTTATGAGTAAAGATACAAAAGTATACGTGAAGTTTGAGCCTGTGATTGTAAAAGGGTGAGCTTTTGGTGGCCAAGCCTGTGACACGGATGATATCGAGGTATCAGTAAAGCTGTCCTTTTCCAAGGTGGGGTGTAAAAACCTTGTAATGGTGCGTACCTTCAGACAATCTTACCTTGATGGAATTTATAATGTTACACTCATTAGCTCGTTGGGAAGCTGTGCCATGAGCACAGAAGGTCAAACGAGTAACTTTTTGGAAAGCCTACTGACACCTTTTCCCATCCTGACAGTGAGTCGTCTTCAGTCCGTTTGCTTTGACATTTTCAAATCTATGCAAAACAGATTTGTATGTCATAAAGTGAAAAAAGTGAGTTTTTTTTCGCCACCACCTGTTCTTCTTGTGGTCTGAGCACTGAATAAGATGTTACTTTGAACTACAAATGCTGTGATTAATCTAAAGTATTCCAAACTGTTCGTTTTAAGCACTCGACTGTGGTCAGTGTTACTTCTGAATGTTAACTGGAACCACTAAAGTCTCACTCTTCGTGCCAAGCTACTGCTCATACGTGTAGGTCATTCCATGAGCTAATCACTTCAGTAGTCAGTTACCATTTGCCTTTGAACTTAACCGAGAACATCTCTCGAACGTGTGCAGTTGTTTGTGCGTCTTTCCTTTTTTTGTGTGTGTCAGGAGGGCTTTTTTTTTTTGATTGTGTAGTGCCCTTCCAATCATATGTCCGCTGTCATTACCATGGTCATTTGTTGGTGAAATGTGAAGTGCAATTGCTATTGGTCAGTATTTGTGTTAGGAGTTTTAAGGGTTCTGTTTGGTTGAGAAGACTATTTCGAGCATGACTCGCGAGAGCTGTTCCCGTAATTTGCACTACAGGATTGAAATGAAACTGAACGAAGGGGCAGTAGCTGGAAGCGCTTAGGTCATGTATAATTTGCACTTCTAGTTTGTAGTTGCTGTTTGAAATGACGAAAAAAGATAGGTGCCTCTTGCTTAAAAGCTTTTTAAGTAGCATAATCGGAGAGAGAGGTAGAAGACTAGAATTATAATCTGCAGATTAAATACTATCTTTTTTTTCCAGCGTCTTTTAAGAAAGAATTGGTTCAATTTCAATTTTCTCCTTTTTGCTTTTCGATGCACTGACTTTACCCGTGCCCGAAAATGACAGACATCACTGTGATATATACTTTTTACAAAATTTAAATTCATAAATTGAGAGCATTTATATGAAATTGTTCATTTTCTGAGAATTGTATTGTTTTATGACGGAAAAGTGTTGTCTGATAATTTTCCCCTAACTTGTTGACAGAGAAGTGAAATGTATCCGTGCTATATTCCAAAAAACGATTTATTTGAAGTTTTTAAGAAAAGAAAGAATATTAGATGAAGCTGATCTCAGTTTGTTACTACCTTGGATTAAAATCGTGGATATTTAATATCATTTACAAATTAACTATCTTTGCCATATTGAAGCAAATAATGAGTCTTCTGGAAATAAAGGGACTAATGTGAAAATAACTGTGTTTGTTGATTATTA